TCCACTGGGGAAATACATGTGTATGCTTGAAAACATGTAGGCTTCCCGAACTGGCCAGATGGTATTCCCAAGACTGTTTAAGGTTAGAAAAACCGGATGGGGGAGGGGGTAAGCCTGAAGACCCTTTCCCATACATGTTCCTGATATAAACTAGGTACCACACATGTGGAAACTGAAAACTCATGTTTGACTGCTACACAGGGTGGGGACCTCAGGTCCAAATTCTGTACTTCATAATGCATGCATTGGCCACTTCTTCCAATAACCAAAAGAAAAAGACCTCCTCAAGTGAGTCTCCCCCTTGCTAGCCTATGGGGCTAATAAGGTCTGGAAACAGACAGGGCCTTTAGCTTCTTAAAGTGGATGCTGGAGTGTAAAGGGTTCATATGCTATACTCTCTGTTTAGGACTATTCTTCCCAGGAATTTAGCCTATCCTATATGCTTGGGAGTGGGGCTGTGGTGGCTCAGAGGTTAAGATGCTGAGCTGCAGACCGGAAGGTCTGTAGTTCGGCAGTTCAAGACCCTAATGTTGTGTGATGGAGTGAGCTCCCATCTCTGGCCCCAGCTCCTGCCAACCTAGCAGTTCAAAAGCAAGAAATTGCAAGTAGATAAATAGGTACCACTTTGGTGGGAAGGTAACAGCGTTCCATGCGCCTTGGCATTTAGTCATGCTGGCCACATGACCATGGAAATGTCTTCAGACAGCGCTGGCTCTTCAGCTTGGAAATGGAGATGAGCACTGCCCCCTAGAGTCGGATTCGACTGGCTTTCGAGCAAGGGAAACTTTTACCTTTATATGCTTGGGAACACAGAATTTGAGAATTGTTGCATTGTACCTGGAATTCAGGGCAGTTCTTCGCCAATAATTCTCATTTGTTTTGAGCTTGTCAGTGGCATTTTGCAAACACTGTGCTATATTTTCATTGTTCTGCATTTATTATTTTGGAAGGGTGTTATAACTAGAGGAGAGTGTGGACAAGCGTCAATTGCTACAGTATGTTTTCCCACTGACTTTGTTCCATTGTATTTGCAGTTTCTGATCCTCCCAGTGGGATAAGCTCTTCAAATGCCAGTCTGTGTCCCTCCCCCACCTTTAAAAACATTGTCTTGTTTGCATTCCCCTACTGAATGTTTAAAAGCATTGATTTGGGGAGAGGAGATGTTTTTCTTATCTGGTTCCCCAGAGTGCCCTGTTTGGATTTATTGTCAGTTTTCATATATTTTTGACTCAGCCAGATCAAAGGTCAAAGTAAAACTCCAATAGTGTTGCTCTGTTATAGGAAAGGGGGAAGGGAAAAGGCAAAATGATCACAGTAGTTAATAGATTTTTCCATGGCACATATAAATCTGCATTACAATCTGCTGGGGACTTTCGAAAGAGAGAGAGAAAAATACAATATGTTATCACAGAGGTTACTTGATATCTCCATATTTCTCTGTTAAGAAGGCACATTAATACAGGTCTGTTCCATGATGCATTAGGGGGACTGTTGACTGTGAAAAAGCAGAGAAACTGGCTGGCTGACCAGAGTAAGAGAACAAACAGAACACTGTTAACTCCTTGGCTGCCCGCCTGCACAAAAGGTAAGTACATTTCTTCCATCTTTTTCTTTTTAAATGGCTTTGTAGTCAAATATTCTTTCCTTAGAGCAAAATTAATTCTCTTTGTACTACTGAACACCACCGCTGTTAAGAACAACTGTGATATTATAAAAACAGAGACTAAAGATTTACTTCAGTAAAATTTTTGTCTTGATTCATATCAGTGTACTTCCTCAAGCAAGTCTCTTTGGTGTTCAACATCCATCATGCTGCTAAAGTCCCCATATACCATTTCCATCCACCAGGCAGCCCCAAGTATAATAAAGCTGTCTGGCCCTGGTGGACTGTACGTATTTATCTTTTTTTTGGGGGGATAAACATTAGTCAACACTGTTTTAGACAAACCGCTCCAGTAGCCCAGTAGGGCTCCTTGGTTTCACTGGAGGCTATGCAGGATTCTTCCTCAGTAATAACACTCAGTAATAGCAAGTGATCTTTATGTGTCACAGGAAAAGGGCAGCACCTTAGAGATAGCCCCAAGTGGTCCTAAAACCAGGAGCTGGAGAGGGCTGTTTCAGCTTGGGTTGCCAACCTCCAGGTGGTAGCTGGAGATCTCCCACTATTACAACCTCTCCAGACAACAGAGATCAGCTCACCTGGAGAAAATGGCCACTTTGGAAGGTGTTCAGAACCTAAAAAGGTTAGTCAAGTAGGTGGACTCCATGACATTTATACCCCATTGAAGTCCCTCCTCTCCCCAAGCCCCGCCCTTCCCAGGCTCCACCTCTCAAATCTCCAGGTATTTCCCCACCTGGAGCTGGCAAACCTAGTTTCAGCACTTGCGATAACCAAAGGAGAAAGACCTCCCCACGTAAGTCTCTGTCTAGCAAGCCTGTGGGGCTTATAAGGTCTGGAAACAGCACGCGCTGTGAAGCTCATGCCATTAGCTTGCTAAAGGGAATGTAAAAGGGAAAGAAAGGTACTTCGTGAGCTCCTGTTCATGCGCTATATTTTCTGCTTAGGACTGTAATGTAGCTGATTTAGCATAGCACAAGCTGCTGAGGGTTTGAAGCCTCTTCGTTACATGCAGTGGCAGAGAAGCTTCAGACAGCAAGATTTTTTAATCTAAAGAGCTGTGAACATACTCAAGCACCCTCTGGTTCAGTTCACATCCTACTTGCTGGTTGCAAGCAGGGAGCTGGTTGTCAAGTTGCTCAAGTACGTCCGAACAAACATGGACTTGTCAGCTTTGCATGGTTATGCTGCTTCTCTAATGATTATGCATCTACCACCACCCTCTCCAATTTTAAAAGGGAGGGGGGAAATCACATTTGAAGTGAGGCATTTTAGCTAACATAGTTCCAGTTGTCAGCCTCCATCCAAACTGCTTACCACGGTGACAATTTTTTTTTAAATGGTGCTATTACACCACTCTGTTATTTCTGTTGTTAGGTGATATTCCTAGTACCAGGGTGTAATAGTGCTAATCAGTTCAAACTCTAAAAAATTATGAAGGTATACTTCACCAGTGTCAGAAAATACAGAAGGAAGTGCTGTTAGGTTACTGTTTATAGCACTTGTTCACAGTAGCTGCCACCACTTCCAATAGAAACAGAGTTCAAAGGGGGGGGGTTGCATTGAAACTTCTTATTTAGGAGACCCTGTGTGCCTTCAATATCTTGTTACTGACATTGGCAAAAACGTTAGTACAGTACACCACCTACAGATCATTGTGTTCCCATTACCACCATGAATATCAACAGGATCCCGAGATCTATGAAAGCTACCACTTGTAGGCTAGATCCTTTTCCATCCTGGTTACTGAAAAAATGTGTAAGTCCCTTATGTCCATCATAAATTGGTAAGTCCCTGGTGCCCATCAGAAACCAATCACTGACTTCAGGGCACCTTTTCTTGGCCATGAAAACAGGCTATTGTCTGTCCATTACTTAAAAGTCTTGAGAATTATGTGCTCAATTACTGCTTGGTCTCTGATTTGCCCTTTCTGGACAAGTTGATAGAGAGAGTGGCTGCAGAACAGACTCAGGTCTTCCTGGATATTTATCTATTTTAGACCCCTTTCAGTGTGGCTACAGGCCAGGCTATAGAAGGGAGATGGAACTAGTGACCTTAGTTGTTGATCTATGTCTGAATGTAGATGAGGGCTGTGCCTCCTTATTGCTCTTACTGGTTATTTCAGCAGCCTTTAATACTTGGGGCTATATCATCTTGTTGAGACATTTGGATGTAGATGTTGGGATTAAGGGATGTGCTTTGGATTGGTATAATTGTTCCTTAAGGTCAGGACTTTTGCTTTTGGAGACCAGCTGACATCAGTGTGAGGGTTCCACAAGGCTTGGTCTTATCCCCCATGCTATTCAATCTTTATGTAAAGGCTTTAGGGAAATTGTGGTTTTTCTACAGGCTGCTGCACCAGCACAAAGCTGCTGAGCACAGACCTCAGCAACAGCCATTGAGGTGATTAGATTAGGAGCTCATCTCACGTCTAACTGAGGGATTTGAGCAAAGTATGTTCACTGGTGATCATGCTAGTATTGGAGTTTGCAGAGTACCTGATTTGTGTGACACTTCTATGTAAAACTGAAAAGTATACAACTAAATAGACAATGATCATCCACAGTAGCTACAATTTGTGCTAACATAGAGTGCTTTGTTATGTTAAGCAACCGAGAGGACATGCAAAGGCTGAGAAATACCTTGGCCAATACCTTCAAAGCTTTTCACAATTCCCTGCTGGAGACTTCTCTCTGGAGCTCCTTTGTTGAAAAATAGTGGAAGACTGAATGTTCACTTGCAGTCTTTTTGATGTTGCCGTAGTTTATGTCTAACTTAGGTTAATTTATTCTTTTTCTGGAAAGTGATTGACCTGTTTATGCTATGTAAACAATAGAGGGGCCTTGTTGACAGGATGGACAGGTTAATTAGCCCCCAGTAGTATAGCTGATGTTATTGGGTCATGTGATAATGAATGACCTTTGGAGTCCCAATTAAGTCCACAGTTGTGCAGGGAAGAGTGTAACTCTGTTTAGTGTTGCAGCATTGGAGAAGAATATTGCAACATGCATGTATGCATGTAATTCTGTTGAAATGAGAATACTTTTTGGGTGCAAGGCATGAGTTGAGAATGGCCGAGACCTCGAGTAATGTAAAATAGACACACAACTCCCCAGACAACCCCTAAAGAAGACATTGTTCAAGCATCTGACCTCAGACTGTCATGCTGTGTTTAGTTTATGGCAAAAACAATTTTAGCAATTGTTATCAATTTTAACACTTTTAACAATATAAATATTGCACTGTATTTATTGTTGATGCAACGTTTCATACAGGAGAGGACATCCATCAAGGTAATGTCAAAACATGACTTCCATTCCATTCTTGTGATTGTACATGGTATAAAATGTGATTTTTGCACAATAACAATTCATTGGACCTGTCACAAAAGGAGTCCACAATTCTTTATTCTTGATCTTGAGGAATGTCTGGTGGCTTTCAGCTGAAATTCTATGGGAAAGTGATCACTCACTGCTAAAGCCTGTGGAGTAACAAGGCACAGTATTTTGCTCAATTGGATTCCATGTTTTCCAGTTCTTGAATGAGTATGTCTTAAGAGTTAGAGAGTTTCAGGTGGGGAGTCAGCAGTAGAACAAAATTCAAGTGTAGTAGCACCTTGAAGACCAACACATTATCCAGGGTATAAGCTTTTGGGACCTTTATCTCACAAAAGTTTACACCGTGGGAAATTTTAAGACGTACTTCCAATAATACATTGAATAGTTTGTATAAGGTCTATGTCATTATGGGCAAGTGAAGGGAGAGAGAGAGAAGGTTGGGGAAAAAGGAGAAGAGGATAGTTGGTTGGATACATTTGGAGAGAATGTATCCAAACCTACAGAAAGACAGCAGACAGGTTGAAATCAGCATGCAGGGTGGAACTGACAACATTGTATATTTTAATTTCCATATCTTTCCACCCTGATGTATTTGCTGCTGTTCCTGTACTACCAAAGATAAATACTTAATGGAGCATAATTTTTGTTGGGGGGGGAGGCCGCTGGTGTCATGCTCAATGACCCCCACTTTAAAAAATATATATCTTATTTTGAAGAAGAAGAAGAGATTGGATTTATACCCCGCCCTTCACTTGGAGTCTCAGAGCGGCTTACAAACTCCTTTCCTTTTCCCGTCCCCACAACAGACACCCTGTCAGGTGGGTGGGGCTGAGAAGAGCTCTTGACAGAAACTGCTCTTTTTCAAGAACAGCTGTGCCAGAGTTATGGCTTGCCTAAGGTCATCCAGCCAGGTGCAAGTGGAGGAGTGGGGAATCAGACCCGGATTAGAGTTCGCGCACTTAACCACTACACCAAACTGGCTTTATTCAACCCCCATGACAGATTAAAAATGTATACTTTTTGCACTCTAAATGGTTTTTCAGTGCTTCACGTGTATCTTTATACTTCACAATATCCACCTGGCACCTTATTTATATATTTCTAAAACACATTCAGCTTGAAAAAAATGTAAAGCTGTTGGGTGGGGGGCGGAACCCACAGAACTGATTTCCCTTGAAGAGGTTCCGGGTCTGGCTCATGAAAGCTTAAATCTCAATAAATGGGTTAGTCTCTTCGTTATTTTGGGGAGAAATAACCATGCCTGTCACCAACACAGTATTTCCAGACTGCAGTGAGTACTTTTAAACTACATCTATATGCAGCCACCATTATGATACCCTGTTTTCAGCCATGCAGCCTGAACATATTAATAAAGGTAGGCACTCTCTGGCTACGGTGAGTGTGAGATTCACCAAACTGATTGATTGATAATTGGCTTTCAGTTGACTTCACTTGACGCAATCCACTGGCCTTAAACAGCTGCACTGGGTGCTAAGAATCACTGTGTGATTAGGGTTGCCAGCTCTGGGTTGGGAAACACCTGGAGATTTTTGGGGGCAGCGTCTGAGGAGGGCTAGGTTCAGGAAGGCAAGGGACTTCAGTGAGGTATAATGTGGCCATCTTCTCCAGGTGAACTGATCTCTGTCGCCTGGAGATATCCCAGGAGAACTCCAGCCACCACCTGGAGGTTGGCAACCCTGGTTCTCAGCAAGAGCAGGACTGTGGGGAGGCAACACATAGTTTTCCTAAATACATTTCCTAAACAAGGGCGAGGCTAGATGTGAGTCAGGAGGTCCACGGTCAGGATCTCTTGCAGCTTTGGAAAAGCCTAAAAGCAGTCCCAGATCTGAGAAAGATTTAAAGAACTCTTTTCACCTTTGCGGTTTTCTCTGTCTGCACCGTCTCCCCCTTGCCAAGAGCTGTTATTTTTGCCACGGGGGAAACATATCCATGTGGCAGAGTATGTTTCCCCTACAGGTCAAACAGCACATTAGGAAGGGGAACTATTTGCATTGGAAAGCCATTATGAGAATTTAGGGTTAATCCCTTCTCCTCTGCCACTGCCCAGTCTGAATCAGACCTCTTCTCCCTGTGGGTCCTCCTATTAGTCTTTTGAAAAGCCAAAGAAGACTCAAACCACAGATCTTCTGGATAATTTTCAGTTTGGCTGTAAAACATTAACAGCTGGACTTGCAGCCAAAGGGAAGGGTTCCTGAAGGGAGAAGGATGTAAACTATATACTGAAGCTGATTTGAAAGAGCGAGTTTCCTCTCTAAGCGTGCGCAGTTGCAAAATTATCATTTTGGTTCCATACTGGAAAGTTGGGAATGGCATTGTTTTAGTTTTCATTAAATATTAGGTAGTCTATAAAAATAGGAAGAATACCCCAGTAGTACCTTTCCTGGCTTTCTCATACAAAATGACAACTTTGTAAGTACCTCCCATCCCCAAAGCAGCAAGAGTGTGTGTGGGGGAGGTAGGAAATGTCCCAGCCTCCAACTGGTTCACTGCACAACAGCCCATTCAACTTTAAAGGCCATTATTTACAATGGGAAAATCTATAATTATTGAAAACAATGGTCCTTTAAAGTTTAAAGGGCAGATGTGAAGCTGAACAACTGAGGTGGGGGTACTGGATTCCATGAGCCAGATCTGCCACCCATTATTTTCAATGGCTGTGGTGGCCTTCCTCCCTCACTGCCTCTGAGGGATGGAGTGTGTGTGTGTGTGGGGAGCCTGCAGCAGGGCTGGTGTGCCACCATGACCACTGAAAACCATAGGTGGTAGACTTGGGACACAGAGCCAGAGGCCATGCCTGTCTCTCATTATTTGGAGCACCCTCCCAGCTGCTCAGTGGTGTACCTGCCATTAAACTGTAAAGAGCCACTGTTTCCAATGGGGATATACCTGGCCTCCAGCTTTCAGGGGCCAGGTGTTTCTATTGGAAATAATGGACTTTTAAACATTAGCCTGCTGTTGCACCATGGGCCAGCTGTGAACAGTGAAAGGCTTCCTGACCTAATTCTGGATATTTCTGATATCTATTAGGAGTAAAATATCGGAATCAGGAAATGTTGGGAAAGCCTTTCATGGTGTCAGGTATGTATTTATTTACTCATTAGGGTATTTCTATGCCGCCTCTTCAGAGTCCTGCTCAAGGGGCTTAAAACTAAAACCACATCACAATATTTAAAACAAGTCATCGGATGTAAACTGTGTCAAGGCTATCCATAAAACAGAAGCGATCATCAAAAAAGTTGGTAAGGAAAAACCTCCAATTAAAAGCTTGGGTAAAAAGATTTGTTTTGACCTGGTAATTGGAAAAAGGAGGAGGAGGAGATTGGATTTATACCCTGCTTGGAGTCTCAGAGCGGCTTACAAACTCCTTTCCCTTCCCCTCCCCACAACAGACACCCTGTGAGGTAGGTGGGGCGGAGAGAGCTCTGACAGAAACTGCACTTTCAAGAGCAGCTCTGACAGAACTATGGTTTGCCCAAGGTCATCCAGCCAGGTGCAAGTGGAGGAGTAGGGAATCAAACCTGGTTCTCCCAGATTAGAGTCTGCACACTTAACCACTACACCAAAAGTAGGTGCCAGGCAAGGCTCAAGGAGGAGGGCATTCCAGAGGCACTTCTGAACAGCAGGCCTAGAGAGCATGGCTTGAAAGGCAGAGCTTAACTGGCAAACTGAATACTATGGGAAGGGATGGTCCTTCAGGTACTCTGGCTCAATGCTGTTTATGGCCTTAAAGGTAAGAACCAGCACTTGAATTATGCCTGGAAACAGATGGGTAACTAGTATAGATCTTTCAGCATAGTAGCCTGTGCTGCCACAATTTTGGCCAATCTGAAGTTTCTGGAGTGTTTTCTAAGGCAGCCTCAAGCAGAGTTCATCACAGTAATCTAACCTGGGTGTGATCAGAGCATGGATCACTATGGTGATAAAAGAGCTGATAAAAGGTGCTACATGCCATGGAGAGAACTGAGCCTCCAACCGTAGGTCAGGATTCCAGTAGCACCCCCAAGTCATGAACCTACTCTTTCAGGGGGAGTGCAATACCCACCAAGACAGGCTGACTCCACAGTCCACACCTCAGTCTTGCCTGGATAAAGCTTCAGTTTATTGGCCCTAACTCACTGCATTACCTTCTCCAGGCACCTGTTCAGGACTGTGAGGTTTGAATATCAACACTTTGGTTTGTTGGTTGCCACCTAACTGGAGTTTCAGGCTAGGATTTGTAACTGATTTATTGACTGTACTTTGTACCAACTGTGGTTTCTTTTAACATTTCAATTAACAAACCACAATTAACAGACTTTGTACTGCGACTCTTTGTAAGTGCCTGGCCATGGATGTTACAATCTTCTATACTAGGAGAGAGGCAAAAAGTTGACAACACAGGATTTACGGATAAATTGGGATTTGTGATTTATGTCTAGCTGACTAACCAGAGCTTTGTTGCACAAACCACAGCTGAAGCAACCACAGTTTACTTGTGATGCCTTTATACAGCCAGCAGTGCTAACAAAGCTAGGTAGCTCTGGAGGTGGGTGTACTTATAACATGACTTAATACAGGACAGGCAGCCTAGCCATATACTTAGTGTGTGTGGGCAAAGGCAGGCAGGACACAAAGTAATGGGAAATATGTGGACTGCGGGAGCTGGTTTTACATTAGGTTCACATCTTGTTTTGTTTTGTTTTCATATTGATAATTTACAATATTTTAATGATTTTATGATATTGTAATTTGTCAGCCATCTTGAGCAAGCTCTCTGGAAAAATGGCATATAAATTCTCTAAATCAATCAATCTGTCTCCCTTTGTAACACACATGCAGCTGTGCCTTGAATGCTCTGGAGAAAGCTGGCACTTGTTATGAGCTCTTTGCGTCTGGCTTCTGCCCGTATGTCTTCCCCAGTGGGTAGTCTGTCTCTCACTCCTATACCAGGTTCCCATCTATTTGGCCTTCTCAGCTTTGATGCAGCACAACTGGGGCTGCAAAGCTTATAGACAAAAACACAAGGATGCTCTGGCTGTGCATTATCATGCTTTACAAACCTGCTCTTCAGTCATTGAAAAGGCTCTCTGGAAATCAAAGATGTTTGCTGAGTCTGGCAAAGTGGCCCTTATGAGCATCTCTCCATGGAGCACAATCCTGTAAGAGGTGAAAAGAGACAACTCTGTATCCTCCATCTGGGGAGTAGGAAAAAGACTGCTATTGCCAAAAAGGAAAAAAAACCTTCATCGCTTAGTGTAGCAGATTAGGTTAGCACATCAGTAGTAGCACAATAGAACTAGAGTCCTACAGCCAGTGCTGTGGCACATAAGATCCCATTCCCAGTCCTGGCTTACCTAATCAGCAAACTGTGGGTGCATCTCTCCCTTCAACTCTGCCCTCCCCAATGACACTTTGATACATGCTCATTCTGTCTCCATCCTTCTCTTCTCCTCCCTTTCCCCCTGCTTTTCCTCTTGCAAAAAGGCAGGGTTGTAGCCCCATCCTGTGCATGGCCTACTTAAAAATAAGCCATAGTAAACTGTTGTGAGGTGGCAGGGACAACACCAGGTGTCCCCTTTGGGCACTCATGGCATCAAACCCAGCGTCCACCAGGCCCAACAGAGCAGTGGATGCAACCTTTAAAGAGTCACACTCCAGATAGCCAGTCAATGACAGCTGGCCCTCTGACAGCCAGCCATCTGACAATTAGCTGTGGAAGGCTCCATTCTGGGGGTGGAAAAGGTGAATGGTAGGAAAGAGATTGCTCTGAGGCTGCTATTGGTCCCTCAAAAACTTTGCCGTGTCCCCACAGGCTTTCTGGGTAGATAGGGCAAGGTCACTAGACTTACCAGAGACATAGCTGGAGCCTTCTAGAGGCTCGAGAATGATGCTACGAAGACACACCAGCTCTGGCTCCCAGAACAACATAAATAAATAAATAAATTGGCACCTAGCTCTATCTGTTGATGGAGGGCTGCCTGGACTCCGCCCCAGAAAATCTGACCAGGGCATTGGAGGCCGTGGCTGGATAACTACAGCCGAGCCGGTTGAAACGTAATCCAACTAAGATGGAGGTCCTGTACCTAAATCGGGGACGGGGCGGGGAGGAGCTGGGTTAGGAATCAGGCTGCCCTCTTTGGATGGCCCATGACTTGTGCCAGCCCCAGAAGGTGAGGAGCCTGGGGGTGGTCCTGGATGCCTTGCTTTCTGTGGAGGCCCAGGTCACCACAGTTGCTAGGCAGGCCTGTAGCTACAGTGGAGCGTCTTGGGATTTACCACCCAGGCCTCCTGACTTTTTGCTGAGCTGGGTGGAGAGAGCCATTCCAGGCTGGGGGGAGGCTCAAACCTTCGCTATGCCTCTCCCTTGATGGCTTGCATGAGAGACCGGGGGCTTCTATGGGGCGCCCCCTGACTTATTTAAAGGCCCCCTGAATTTAAAAAAATCCTGGCTATGGGCCTGTTGCTAGGTCAGCCTTTTATCCTCTCCAGCAGATCAGGCAGCTGGCCCCTCACCTCTCCCCCCAGGACTTGGCTATAGTGACCCATACAATGGTTGCCTCCAGCTCTGATTACTGTAACTCACTTTACATGGGCTTGCCCTTGTGGTTGATCTGGAAACTCCAGCTGGTACAAAATGCAGCAGAATGCCTGCTGGCTGTGTTGCCTGTGCACATTCAGCCAGCGCTACACCAATTGAGTACCGGATCCACTTCAAGGTACTGGTATTGACCTTCAAAGCCTTGCATGGCCTGGAACTGACATACCTAAGGGGCCACCTCTCCCCATAGGTGCCCTGGAGAGCCTTGTACTCTACCGATCAAGATCTGCTGGCTGTCCCTGACCTGAGGGACATTCATTTAGCCTCGACCAGGACCAGGGATTTCTCTGCCCTGGCCCCGGGCCTGGTGGAACATGCTCCCACTTGAGATCAGGGCCCTACGGGACCTCCTACCATTCCGTAGGGCCTGTAATACAGAGCTATTCCACCAGGCCTTTGGCTGAGGTGGCAGAGGCGTCCAGTAAAAAAGTTGGTCTCCCCTGCTGAAAACACTACTCCCATGTGGCCCAGTTTAAACAAATTTAGAGTCTACTGGCACCAGTACTGAAGATTGTCCAAAAATTGGTGCAATTTGTTTTTAATGTTTTGTTTTTAATGTGTTTTGATAGTTAACCATTTATATTGTGTCTTCTGAGATACCGAATGGCCTAATTATTTGTTGTGATCCACCCTGAACCCGTTCGTGGGGAGGGTGGAATATAAATGGGGGGGGAGGAGAATGAATAAATAAATAAATAAATAATAGAGCTAAGTCCAGAATCTGACATACACTTCGTGCCATGTAACTGTGTCAACTGAGATGCTGCTCTTGAGAGGGGAAAAAAAACATTTTGGCTTTTTTTTGCAGAGACAGCACCTGGCAGATTGTGTGTGTAGGATGCTGTGAGTGAACCACGGAACTCAGTGGGACCCAGTGAGTAAACATGCACAGGACCAGTCTGTAACATAATAAGCTTCCTTACAGCAAGTCTGATGTACCCAGAATAGTCTGCTCTCACCGATAGTGATTATCCATGATCAAAGAGATCTTTTCCAGCTCTTCTCCTTTAGGTCCCTTTTAGCGAGAGATTTCAAGAACTGAACCTGGCACTTTCTGTGTTCCATCAATGAGCTAGGACTCCCCCCTAAGTTTCTTGGATCTTCTCAAAACAAAACAAAAACCTCTGGTATTTTTCAGATTCAGGTATATTGGACCCCCAAAATATCAGTATTCCTGACATGCCAAATTCCAATTCCAGTATGGTATTTGGATTTGGGTTTTTTCCAGGAATTTGTTTTTTGGGAGGTCCATTATACCCTATGGGGGACTTGTCTGAGGGGCTGTTTTTCAAGCTACAGGAACCTAATTTGCAACAGAGCTGCTGGTGCCTGTCCTCAGAAGAACCCCCAAGGTTCAAAAAGACTGGATCAGAGGGTCCAATTGTATGGGTCCCCAAAGAGGGTGCCCCCATCCATCGTTGTTTCCAATGGGAGGAAAAAACAGCTGCCCTGCTACCAGGGTTCCGTGGAGGCACTTTGGTGCAGGTGGATTCAGAATGGCAGTGGGGATTGGTGGCTGTGCCAATCAGATGGGTTATTGCAGGGCTATTTTTGGACAGGAACGCACAGGAACGGAGTTCCGGCTGGCTCCCAAGTTGGCCACGTCCAGCAGGAACTCATTAGCATAATAGGCCACACCCAACAGCAGGAACTCATTAGGATTGGCTACATTAGGGGTGTGTGGCCTAACATGCAAAGGAGTTCCTGCTACAAAAAAAGGCCCTGGGTTTTGACAACAAACAAGGTAAACAGAATAACAAGCAAAAGGTGGGTGTGGCTGGATAACCACACTTCTGGTAACATGGGGGTGCGGCCTAATGTGCTAATGAGCTGTGCTGTCAGGGGTGTGGCCCAATATGCTAATGAGTTCATGCTATTGGGTGTGGCCTATTATGCTAATGAGTTCCTGCTGGGCTTTATCTACAAAAAGAGCCCTATTTGCCCTGCTACTTCTTTCTAGTCTCATTTTAATTTTGGGAAGAGTGTTTCACTGCAACTTTCCAGCACAGACTGAGAGAGGATGCAGGCACAAGCACGTGCTCACTTCAGTCACCCTCAAAGTCCAGAACTGGGTAGCTGAACAGCAGCAAGTTGACCTTCAGGAAGACCAAATGCTCAACTGTCCGGGGGAGCAGATGTGAGCGATGCGAGCTGACCGTGTCACTCCGCATGCTTGTTGGAGGGCACCTCGCTGAGAACCTCAGTATGGAACTGATTCTGGCGATAGCTGTCCCGGTGGTCTTCACCCTGCCTAACACTGGTCCTCTCCCCAACTTCTTCAGGTTGCCACCAGTGCGCAATCAGCAAGAGGTACGCTTGATGCGCCTGGGGGCAAGTCCATATGTTGGACATGAAGTGCACAGTTCTCCTGTGAGGGCAGGACAACTGTGCCTTCACATAGTCCCTGGCTGCCTGGTACAACAAGGGCAACACAGCTCTGTTAAGCATGGTGCAAGCAGGGACTGTGTATCAGGGATAGGCATCCTGGAGTAGCCTGCAGAAGCTGCATCTTCCACCATGTCTGCTGCTCCCCCCCCCCCCCCCCCCCTCCCCCCCCCCCCCCCC